ATCTTCCTAGAGGAGCGAACGCGAAAAGCTAAAAAAAGGTAGCTATGTAAAAGTTACTGTTTCAAAACTTGCAATATTAAATTTTTATTATTTATTATTAGGCTCTTATTTATAGTCGCTTATTAGTCTTATTAGTAGTCGCGTGTTTGCATTGCAGCTTATCGCACGTACAAACATACACATATGATCAACGGGCAAAAGAATAGCGAAGAAAACAAAAACAAAATCACTTAGATTTGCCTTCAACCCATTATTCAATAACACAAGGTTATGTAATTTGTGACAGTTCAAATTTGACACTCCTTTATCTAGATTTGTATTTTGGAAGTAGGATAAAGGGGAAGAATGTGATCGCCTTTTGCGAAAACGGTAGTAGAAAGGTACTAAAAAAAGTGCGCAAAGTATACAATTAGAAGTAAAATGTGTATTATTAATTCTATGTGAATTTGCAATATATTTGGTGTTTTAATGGAAATACTAAATGTAAAAATATGGATTTTTAATTTCCGGGAACAAATCTAGAATACCCACCCTTCAGCTACGCAAAAACGAAAAATGCAGGTTAATAGAGGTTTTTACGCTCATTTCAACCATGCGAAAATTATTTAGCGCAAGTAAAATGTAAAGACGATTTAAAGGTTAAATTTAAACTTTTTAATTCTTTTAAATATTAATATTTTATGAACCACATACCCTATTAAAAAACTAATAACGTCACCATAAAGATAATCAATTTATCTTTCCGCTGATATACATAATTGAAATTATTTTTTATATATTTAAACCAAAACCACTAAAATCCAACAAATGTTATTTTTTCATGAAATAACCTTTTTTGAGAAAGACCTGCATGATTAATGGTAAAGAAATTTTTATTATTTAGAAAGGACACGTTATTATCTTTAATGCGGTATACATATTTTATCATGATCTACCTTTTGGTTTTAAGAATTAAGTTATAATAAAAAATATAAATAAACAAAGCAAATAAACCTCTTATATATTCTTTATTTTTTACCTGAGCCAAATAAATAATAAATGGTTATTTTATAGCTAAAAGGTCGCTATTCTAGACTTGTTTCAGAAAATTACACAAACGAAGGTGATGCCAACGAATATTTAGTATGAAGAATTTTTGGTCTTACTAAATACTAATATAACTAGAATCTATAGAGTGAGCAACATTCTACACAAGTAAAGGAGCCGATTTTATGTGTGGGAGCGAGAAGACTGATTTATTAAAAAACCTTTCTATTATTGAACCATGACTTCAACCTTTAGCTTGAATTCTATGCGATAAATCGCTTGAATTCTATGAGCATACATAACGACACACTTCAAGGCAAATAACATACAAATGCGTATTTTTGTTGATTTTGTTGTCACGTTTTTTGTTTCATAGAGTTAAAAATCACTCCCGCCGCTAAAGAAGTTTTCACTTCAAAAATTATAAAAATTGTTTTCAGAAGGTTTAAGTGTTCAATTCTTCATTAAATAATGATAAAGTGAAAAGTAAAAAGTGAAAGCTTAGTTTTTATGCATATGGGCCATTGTTTCAAAATTAATTCAGGATGATGGGTTAGTCGTACGGCTGAAACAATTCGTATATTCTGATATACAACAAATCTAGATAGAACTCACAGTCCTAGTTAGTTTTAATTTTGGGGTTATATGTTTTGATATACGGTATGCGAAAAGATGAAAATGGGCATCAAACCCCAAATCCAACCGACCCAGTTGTGAATCTAAATCATCCAGGAACTCACTCAAAAACATTGGTCCAGCCGCTTAGGAAGAGCTCAGTGATATAGAAACCCAGAGAAGATTACCGGCGTTGTCAAACTAACCCGCAATTTGAATTTTTTAAATCGGTTTTAAGATTCGTAATCTGCAACCTTAAGAACACTGGATTTTAAAGTATTAAGCGATTCTAATCATTTTAAATTTTATTTTGCCATATTGTACCGCCATTTTGAATTTTTCTAACCTGACCTCAGATTCGTAATAAGGGACTTCAAGAGCCCCAGAGGAAAACTTTTCAAGCGAATCGAATGGATTTTATTTTTTTGGCCACCATATTGGGTTCGCCATTATGAATATTTAAAATCATGCTCTAGGTTCGTAATCAGCAACCTCAAAATTATAATAACCTGCTGTTACTTTTTCTTCTTTAGTGTTGGGTACTCCGGTGCCACAAAAGTTGTAAACCAAAATCTAATTTACGGTTAGGTTAGACGCCATATTTAACACGACATGCTTAATTTTTGAAAAGGCCACACTGTTTTCAATGGGGCCGTCTATGTGATCATTTTAAGTCCTATGGAATTTTTGCCATCGTACTGTACTGGTACTACATATGGAAATGAATTTCACGCCGCTTCCCTTACATCGCTATGTTAGGCACGTTCCCGGTCGTGATATAAGCGTAGCACAAAAAAAAAAACAAATCCAAATAAAAGTTGTGGAGAATGATATCCTCTACAACTTTGGAATTTCAATATGCTATGCATTTTCAACAGAAATTGTCGAAAAATGGGGAAAACCGTGACAATGTAAATTTTTTCGCAGTATTTGATAATATTTACAACAAAAAAAGTTTTTTTTAACCCCTTATGCAACAAATGTGGGAAATTAAATTCTGTACAAATTTGTGTTTAACCATTTTTTACGAAAAATGCAAAATAAGCTTGCAAATCGCGTAAAACCCAAAAATAAAATAAAATCCAACATGGCGGAACGATGCGAAATGAAATTTAGGGACAAGACTGTGAATCCAGAACAGAAGTAAACTGCATCAAAAAAGCGCTGTTACAATTTTTTTTTTCGTACCAAATTTATCCATGTTTACTGGGCGTTTTTTATATTTGTAAAAGTAGTTTGTGAATTCAAATTACCAAAGTTTTTGTTTTGTATGTAATTTGTATGATAATTATATGATTAAATGATATTCGTCATTTGAACGAAATTAACTGAATGAACTAAAGAACTAGTTCACTAAGGTGAGCGAACTACAACTGAACGGTTCACTCAAAAGAACTAAAGTGCCCAATACTAACCTTCACTCATCTGTTTAATGGATGAAATCTACTTTGTATAAAATTTAACTTGTTAGGGGCTGTCCCTATATTACGTAAGGGAGTTTTCGCCTGTTTTGAACCTCCCCTCCCCTTACGTAATAAATTGTAAGTTTTAATTGATCCCCCTACCCCCGCCGCAGATCTTACGTAAGAATAAAAATCCCCTAGAAATGTTTTTTCAGTTAAACATTAGAAAATACTATATACAGTATATTTTGCTTTGCTGCCTCTATGCTTAGGTGCGCATCAAAAGCATTATTTTTAACATTTATAAGGAAACTGCTCCGATAGATGCATTCAACATACCTGCACATTGGCGATACCTGCCTTAAAAATTGTGCGACTAGTATCAATTATCAAAGAAAGTATTGCGTTTACCTGCACTGGCCCTACAATTACTTAATTTTACAACCTTTTATTTATTTTGCTCATCTCGCAGAACAACGAAAATTGCTATCAATTTATGTAGTTATATAGATAATTAGATAACATTCGGTAAAAATTTCGCTTGCAGTAATTTCTACATGGTAAGTGCTCCGCCAATATTTGGTTTCATAGGGATTCGGATACCTTCCTCATTGAAGTAGTAAAGAAAATTCGCTTAAGTGCCTTTTTCGGTTACGTGCAGAAGTTTTTCGTGCAAAGAAGGATGTGCAGCTAAGCAAAATATACTGTATTTCCATCAAACAAATATAGGATGTAAGCCTAGTCAGTCTTAAAAACTTCATTACATAGTTATACTAGTCATTCTTTGTTGTCGGTTTCTTTGGTCCACGGTCCAGCCAGCCAATCTGAAAGAGGAATAGCCTCAGGGATATCTCGTACTTCTTTTTCACTCAAAGATATATCATTTTCACAGTCCACTGAAATTTTTTCTTGATTCACCCACTCAACAATATCCTCTGTTTCATTTCCTGTGATGACACACATGAGCTCTCGCCCGCGTCTTGAAATTATCCTCTTTGCTCTTCGACGCTGAGGCTCAGAAAAGATCAACTGAAGCTTTTTGTGAATGCTTAGGTGCTGTCCATATATATTACGTAAGGGAGTTTTCGCCTGTTTGTGTTCGAGCTGCATTTTTCGGTTATAATAGACACCGAAGAGTAACGTTTTTTTTAGAAAAATATACAAATTAAAGCAAAAGTTGTAAAAAATTGTAATATCCTTCGTATTTAATGTATGTATATTTTTCATTTCAATGCAATTTAGTACTTTAATTGGGTGAATTTTCGCATTTTATAAAGAACAATTTTGTATAAGAATACAAGAAAAAAAATATTACGTAAGAATCTACGCGACGCCCCCTCCCCCCATATAAGAAAAAGTAGGAAAATCCTAGACCCACCCTCCCCCACAAAGGTATTACGTAATATATGGACAGCCCCTTAGGAAATATTTCGCGAGGTGGTTGTCTGAAAAAATCCCGGCCGGGATATTATTAACTAAATATTCAGATTTTTTTTCTAATTTTGCACTCGTTTGTTTGTTTGAACAAATTACATACATATATGCTAGTCCAAAGCATAAAGCCTATAGAATGTGTTAAACAGATGAGTGGAAATTACTAGTATTACTTACCTGTTCATACCTGCCAACACGATAGGAAGGCAAGGTACAAAATAAACAACGCAACGTTTTCAGGTTCTATAGGCTTAATAATTTCGATTGGTATATAATTTGTTCATTAAACAAATGAGCGTAAACTAAAAAAGTAATATTTTTTTTTTATATTTAGTTAAAAATATCTTGGCTAAGATTTTTTGAGCCAACCCACTCGGAAAATATTTCCTAACACGTTAAATTTCATACAAAATTGATTTCACCGTTTAAACAGAAGGGTGAAGCTCGTGCCTTATTCGGATCTTAGACTATAATATATTGTATCAACATTTTCCATCACTTATCTGATGCCTTAATACTTACCATCGACATCGATTGTTTCGCAACGCCAAACTTGACCAAATGCACCTTCTCCTAATATGTTGAAGAATTTAAGCCGGTGCCGTGGAAATTCCCATCGGCATATAACACGGTCAACTTTAGATTCTACAACACTACGGTATCCGATATTCATATTCATACCGGTTTGTGTTTCTCCAGCAATAGTGTTACTACTATTTTGAATTCCACTTAAGTTACCTGGGTCAGTATTATGAATAGCCCTTCTATCCATGGAATTTGCTGTTAATTGGGATGTTACCTAAATATTGCCATAAATATAAAAAATGTGCTTAGCTTTTTTGTATTACTTACTTTAAATTTAAGTACTTTTATAGTTTACATATCGTCGCCTGGGTAAAGGATTGTCGTATGTTAATTTCGACAGGTTGTGGGAAATCGCGATTGAAGTTTGGAATGCAATTTCTCAAAAACGCGAAGACAAATTTTCTCCAAAGTCTCTGAAAATGTTACTAGTTCACAAAATTCTTAAAATATTTAATTTTTAATGATTATTGTTAATTAGTTTTCAGTTTATGAAGGATTTTCTTTAGTAAAATTTTATCGTAAGCGTCATTTGCCACAGTTCGGCAGCCACTTTGTATGAAACACGACAAAATGTGATAAAAATTTCTACCAAATTAACGACATTTTTTACTCAATATCTCGGAAACTGAAGGAGATATCCAAAAATGGAGAACGCCATTTTTAAGATATTGATTGGTTTAATATGGGTGCATCACTAACTAAATTTTTACTAAATTATCGAAAAAATTGTAGTCAATATCTCGGAAACTAAAGGAGATATCTAAAAACTGATAGCACCAATCGAAAGACCTTGTTTCAAAGTATATAACTGCATCTAGAACTAAAAATCGTCAAAATGGCGCTTACGACAATCTTTTACCCAGGCGACGATATGTACATATGTAGCTATGAATGAGATAGCTTGTACACTCACCAAGGCATTCTGCAGTTGTTGAGGAACGTAGCGGTTGTGGTAGGCGATAGGCCCGTTCCAATGTTGCAATACCATTGAATTTTGGCTGCCATCAGTTAAATCACAGCTTAAATTGCTGTGGTTAGATTTTTTAGTTATTTCCTCCTTGGATTTTTTTTTTAATTTTTTGCTAAAAGCGCACAAATGTTTCCGGTATAGGAAACCAAAGAAACCAGCTGCCGCAAAAAAAAGTCCACATGAAATTGCTATAACTGGAATAATAACTGCTTTGATTGAAATTAAGTTCGATGCATTTTCATCAGCTGGATCTATATAAGGATATTTATTCTTTTTATTATTCTCCACTGGTCTTGCATTAATTTCGGTCTGAAGTGGCTTCTCTTTTGAATCTGCCATTAAAACACTATCGTTGCTATAGTTGTAGATATTTTCTCTAAGTCCATTTACGGAAGCATTGTTATCTGCCTTAATTATGGCTTTTAGCCGAATACGACCTGTTGTCGAAGGAGGCATATTTGTCGTTGCTGTTGACATCAGTGGAGTAGTTTGTTCGGAAGTGTCTATTTCTAATTCATTACTAGCACTATGATGGTTGTGTGAAGACATATATTGATTTAGGCCAAATTTTGAGGGAAGGTGGTTGATTGGTCGTTCATTTGAATGTTGTGTACCGAGTAGCGTATTGAACTGAGGGAGGATTTGAGAAAAATTTTGTACAACACTCGTAACCGATGGGGGAGTTCGAAAGTTTGTCACCATATGACTATCCTTTGCCAGAATGTTAACAAAAACTTCGTTTTTAGCTGTTAGATCTCCGTCGGAAACAGTAATGTAAAGGAAAAAGTTTTCCCCACCCTGTGAAATGGATGAAGTAGATATGTATGTTACTTATTACAGTAAAAAAGTTTAAATTTTTATTTAAGATAAATTTGCATATTCAGTATAAACCTAAACAAAGGGTGAATTCCAAAACGTCAAAATACAAAGCATCAGCCATTTTTATTTCTAAACCGAACTATGTAGAACAAAAAGTCTAACTTGCGCAACCTAGTTGAAAACTAGCATCTAACCTTTACAATAAAAACACTTTTACATTTCACGAAAATGAAGCGACTATTGCTTGAAACACTTCTTCTTCTTCTTCTTCATCTTCTTCTTCTTCTACTTCTTCTTTTCTTCTTCTTCTTCTTATTTGGCCTTGTAACCGCCTAAGCGATTTTTGCCGAATTCAACAAAGCACGCCAGTCGTTTCTTTTCTGTGCCAACTGACGCCAATTGGAAATGTCAAGTAGAGTCCAACCGATTAATCGGCATCGTCTAGTATCGGCACAAAATTGAGCATCGGCATCGGCTTTTTTCGCCTATTCTTTGCCGATTATTTGGAAAATCTTTTCATATGTTTCGACAGACAACAGCCAACATCAAAAAACATTTGCAAACACCTCACGAAAAAATATTTTATTTTGTTAAAGGTGTTTCACGTTTTTTCCATACAAAAGTATATTGGACAATTTTCTTTTATATGGAGGACACTGCCAGCAAAAGAAATTGCCAAAAATTTACAGGATTTAATACCAGCTTGAAACTTGCTCTTCATAATGCTAGAATTAAGTGGTTTGCAAAACGGCATACCAAAATTCTGATTAAAAAGTTTTAAATTTTGGTAAAAATAACCAGAGTTTTTCTAATTTTATTATTTTTATGGTATTTGTTGTATACCAGCTAGACTTTTATAAAAAAAATAATAAGCATTAAATAAACAAAAGACAAACTCCAAATGCCAAAACCGGTTAAAATATCGCAATATGTACACACATACCTAGCATATAAGTTCCTATGCATGGATTGCAAAAGAGTGTATTTTAGCACAAAACGAAATGAAATTTTATGCTCCTAAATATTTCTTGCTTAGCGCCATATAAAAAAGTGTTTTATGCAGGGACCGTAGCGGTTATAACTTTTATTATAAAAATCACTTTTTAATCGTTATTAACTAAGTTTTATTTTTTGCTCAAAACATAACGATTATTTATTGAGTTTTATTTTTTGCTCGGAAAATAATCGCTACCTTTTAAGTTTTATTTTTTGCTCGGAAAATAATCGTTACGTTTCAAGTTTTATTTTTTGCTCGGAAAATAATCGTTACGTTTTAAGTTTTATTTTTTGCTCGGAAAATAATCTTTACATTTTAAGTTTTATTTTTTGCTCGGAAAATAATGGTTACGTTTTAAGTTTTATTTTTTGCTCGGAAAATAATCGTCATTTCTTGAGTTTTATTTTATGCTCTGAAAATAAAACTTAATTTTTGCCTATGTTTGCGTATGCGTTTGCGTAAATAGATGGGGGCGGCTGCATTGAACTTTTAACGGCATTGTGGAGTAGGTAATGAAAACACAGAGAGCAAGATACAAGGGCAGAAAGTAAAACAAGGGCAATGACAAAAGCACAGACACTCACAACCTATACTGAAGGATCAAGCCAATGATAAAGATGAAGACCAGGACAAAGTTAAAGATAAATAAAAAGATGAACATGTTCACTTTAAGAAAAAAACCAATTTGACTTAACACATATTTCTTTCAAGCGTTTATACCTGTGTCTTTACAGCGCACTCTCTGAAACCGTATTCAAAAGTATACAAAGTTTGTTGTTTTATTTCGATATTTCAAACAATAATTCAAATTAATTTAAAAATAATTCAAATTTAAAGGCGGTTGTGTAAAGAAAGTCAGCCTATTTTCACTTCGCGTCGAATAAGTGATGTGTTTATAACTGTTTCCTAACCGATTTGAAATCAAATCTGAGTTAATACACTTTTGAAATTCAGAGCGAACATTGAAATTTGGTTAATGCATCGGCTTTGAATCGCAGTGAACTGGGTCAAAGCGCTTTATATGTCGGTATAAACAAGGTATTAGTTAGTAAAAATTAGTAATATTGCATGTAATACCACGAGTGCTTTGATCGCCCATGATTGCGTGATACTATACTAAGATACTGTATAAAGAGTGAGCAAGAAGGGAACGGAGTTTAACATTTTTTCATGTATGTAAACTTATGGTTGCCGTATTCAAAATTATCAGAAAAATGTATGTTATTCTTACAAACAAATTCTTATGTGGTTTCATTTGCGAGCATTTGGTCCACTGGGTATACTTACAGTCAAATGATTGTGACAAATAATATGAACGGAAAACAGCAAACAAATCAAAAAATAACAAATTTCATAGAAAAATCTGTAGTAGTTTTGAAAAACAGCAAGTGCATGCGACAATCTTTGTTGACGGTTTTCGTCACTCCGGTTTGTGGAAATCGTCAGATTATATACTTCCCGTTATCCTTCAGCTGTATGCCTCATAATAAAATAAAAATTGACCGCGCTCGAGAATGTCCAGGTAACGTTGTTTTTTTGCAAATTTGCGACCCTCCCAATCCCTTGCGTCACGCTCAAATCGTCAGATTATTGAAATGCACACCTTTCCGCACGTAATTAACCCACTATTTCTTAATCTGACGCGGTCGAGTAAATCCACCTATCATTTTTTTTTACTATTCTGATCAGCTCTCCTATGCGCGCGGCTCTACATAGATGGCTTAGATTTAGCAGAGGTACTCACCATGATGCAGGGTATCCCTCATATGTTAATCTGAGGCGCTCGAATAAATCTGTAACTGTGTAAAATTACGAGAAGCGCTGGGTGGTCACAACAAAGTTCCGCAAATAGCTGATGTCCACTCCGGCGAGTCCCTCGGGAGTGTTGATGAGATGCGCACCGAGGTGCTTAAACTTTTATCTAGCGAATTCCGGGCAGTTGAGTAGGAAGTGCTGAGATGATTCCACCTCGTCTTCCAGGAAACTGCCGCAATAGGGATCCGTGACGATCTGGAGTCGCATCGCGTGGGTTCCCATAGGACAATGTCCGGTCAGCACACCTGTGAGAATCGAGCGGTGGCACTAAGCCAGCTGCAGTAGCTCCCTTACCGCCCGCGGTCCACAACCGGCCAGAAGGACCTTGCAACTTTGCAGGTCGGGGTTTTTTCCCAGCGCTCGCTGAGCCGACTGTAAGCCCATTTGTCCAAAAGCAGACCGCAGGTTGCCAACGGAACTCTAATTCCCTCCCTGTCCGAGGTGATGGCCTTGAGGTTGCCTTGCCTAGCCAGTTCATCAGCCCTGCAATTTCCTGGGATATCGTCGTGCCCTGGGACCCAAATCAGCTTGATCTCAGTTGAGAGAGAGGTCAGGCATACCCCTACCAATTTGAAATACACCATTAGCGATCCCAGCGCCCTGATTGCCGTCTGGCTATTAGTGTATATATTTACCCTCCTCGCCGACAATACATTGGTGCATAGCCAATCGGCTGCCTCTTTTATAGCGGCCACCTCGGCCTGAAAAACGCTGCAGAGATCCGGCAGTCTGAACGTATGATCTACTGAGAGTTCCTTACAGTAGACACCTCCTCCAACTCTCCCTTCCAGCTTCGATCCGTCCGTGAAGATGCTAATGGGACCTCTTCTGCAAATACTACCCTTCTCCCATTCGTCCCTTGGAGGGATGTGCGTGGAGTAGGATCCTTTTGGGGCCAGCATCGGGTGACTCCGGTCCATTTCATTCGGCAGGAAGTCGAAGATTTCGAGAATTGTCGAGTGCGCGTGTGTTGGATTGTAAGAGAACCCAGAGCTTTTGAGCCGAATGGCTGAGCGAACCGCCGCTACTTTGTCCGCATTGTCGACTGGTTCGACATTGAGTATAGCGTTTAGCGCTAAAGTAGGAGTGGTCCGGAGCGCCCCGATGATTACAACGAGGGTGGCCCTTTGCACGCGGTCTAGCTTCTAAAATGAGTGGTATTTTCCAGTGGACTCCGCCAGACAATGACCCCCTATAACATTATTGGCTTAATAATGGTTTCATATAGCCAGTGCATTACTTTTGGGGAGAGGCCCATCTCTTCCCCATGGCGTTCTTGTAGCAGTAGAGAGCCACTGATGCATTCTTTACTCGTTCCTCAATATTTGCTTTCCATGACAACTTCACATCCAGGACCACGCCCAAGAACTTGACCCTGTCGCAGAGAACAAGTGGAACACCCCCTATTGAGGGGAGCTGGAAATGGGACTTTTGGTACCTCTTGGTAAAAAGAACGCGCTCCGTCTTTCCAGGATTGACAGCAAGTCCGCAGCTAGCGGACCAATTTGTGACCATGTTTAGTTACCCTTGCATAAGATCGTACTTTCCTCTGACGATAAGTGCCACGTCATCCGCTTAGGCAATAACCTGGCTCCTCTCCTTTCCAACTCCTACAGGACGTCGTTTATCACGGTTTTGTTAGTAATGAGATATAATTTTACAAAAAAACAAGTAAGAAAGTCTAAGTTCGGGCGGAGCCGAACATTAAATACCCGGCGCAAGTATTAAATATATGTTTTCCACCATTCCGAAAGCTACCGCTACATGATAAGCCGGGGTGTATACATTTTAAGTAAATTAGCGTCCTTAAATTTCGAAATATTGCAGTTTCAAGCATATCTGAAATTTACCGTTATATGAAAAGCGGCCTCAATTTTAGTCCGATTTCAACAATTTTCAACGGTTTGCTTTTATGTGGCAAGCACAATAACCATACCGATCTTGGTACAAATTCCTAGAACGGTTAGCGAGATACATACATATATGTGATCACAAGTGGGCGGTGCTACGCCCATTTTCCAAAATTTTGTCATAAACGTATTTCTTGGTAAAGAATCATCAATTTTGAATAAATTAGCTTCAATATTTACTGATTTATCGAAGATTTTGTATTTCTCGAAATTACCGTTATATGGGATGTGGGCGTGGTTATTGTCCGATTTTAGAA